CGAGGGGCACGCGGGGATCGGTCCGGGAGAGCGCCAATGCCCCGACCCATACTCAGAAACCCAGTACTTCTACCGAGTCACACACGACCAAGACGCAACTGACTCTGCTCAATACCCACAGCTTTACTGCTTCCCTCAATCTGATCAACATGATTGAGCAACTTTTTCCCGTCGAGAAGTCAACCGCTGACCTCACTGCATCCAACTTCCAAGCGAATCGTAAAGCATGGGAGCCGGTTTTGCAAGAATTTGACAATTATCTGAAATATGTATCCTCGGAAGGGGATGATGCTTCCACATTGAGACACCAAACGAGACACCAATTGCTGCGTAAGTCGCTTTTTCGGTATTGAAACATTGAGACATTTGAGCTGACTAGCACGGTCCAATGAAGCACGAGACAGGATTGCGTTACTGCTCGATGAAGACTCGCCGTTTCTTGAGTTAGGATGCTTCGCGGGGTTCAGAATCTCCGGGTCTAACTCCTGCGCAAATATCATTGCAGGTATCGGCCTTGTTAGGTGAGTTTACTCGAGAACGCTGATTTTTAATCCATCTCTAACAGAAAACCAGTCAACGGCCATGCCTTCTCATGTCGCATATCCCCACGCAGAGTGGAGGAGCTTGGAATGAGATGACAGGTGAGGACTTCTCTTCCATGTCTTTCGGGGCCAGACTCTTAACCCAAATCAGTCCTCAAGGTCAACCGCATACTTGAAATAGGATTCGAGAACGATCTACCTCTCATTTCACTGGTTCAGTCGGTAAGAGTGCCATCACCAACTGATAAAGAAGTATTCTAACTATCAAAGGCTGGTGTTTTCTTACCCCAACAATTCCGAGTCTTCCATAAAGGTGGTCAACTCTTTCGTGATCTAGCAATACGATCTCAGCAAGGCAAACCCTCGTGTGCCATTGTCTTTGGCTCCTCAACTGCTGGAGGTGCTTATCATCCTGCGCTTTCTGATTACACCATTTTCGTGGAAAATCAGGCCCAAGTGTTTCTAGGAGGGCCTCCACTAGTAAAGATGGCCACTTCCGAGGTGGTCACTGCCGAGGAGCTGGGTGGGGCCAAGATTCATGCATCAACAACCGGACTGGCTGACCAGATCGCCATGGACGAGTAAGGGGCTCTCGAACTTGCTTCGGTCTTGATTTGACTGACACCATTATGACAGGTTTGATGCTATTCAGAAAGCTCGCGAATGGGTTGCTACTCTGCGCACCCCGGAGCCCAGTCGCCTACTGAGCAATACGTCGGATCCTGTATCTCCCCGGTATTCCATCGACGATCTCCTCTATCTGGTGAACACCGATATCCGTAAACCATTCGATATGCGCGAGGTGTTGCTGCGACTTGTTGATGACTCTAGAATGTCTATCTTCAAGCCGAGCTACGGAACGAACATGCTGACAGCTTGGGCGGACATCCTCGGTGAGAAGCTTTGCACCACCCAGATAACTTTCACAAACAAAGTTCGCTAACACATATACAATGAAGGGTTTCGTGCTGGCATTGTGGCGAACCAGACTCCTGTGATCCATCCACATGAGGCCCTGAAAGCCGCGCAGTTTATTCGGCTTTGCAACCAAGAGTATGACTCTCATGCTTCAATTTGTTTCTTTCTTAGCTGACCGGGGTTTAGAAATACGCCAATCATTTTCCTCCACAATGTCACTGGCTTCATGGTGGGTACTAAAGCAGAGCACTCCGGAATCATCAAAGCAGGCGCACAACTAGTGTCTGCGGTAAGCTGCTCAACGGTCCCTCATATAAGCATCATCCTTGGAGCATCTTATGGGGCCGGTAACTACGCTATGTGCGGCCGGTCATACCGCCCAAGATTCCTTTTCACGTGGCCAACGGGGCGATGCAGTGTCATGGGCCCAGACCAGCTTGCAGGCGTTGTGGAAACCATCAGAACCAAGTCGAATGGCGGTAGCAAGCTTTCGCCAGAGGAAATCAAAGCCCAGGCAGCGCAGTTACGGGAGGATGCATACAGGGATTCGACAAGCTATGCAACTAGCTCGATGCTTATCGATGATGGCATCATTGACCCAAGGGACACTCGCGACGTTCTTGGAATGTGCTTGGAAATCGTGGGGCTATCTGGCCAGAAAAGCGCTGAATCACATCGCTTCCTAGCAAGAATTTAATCATATTTAGGTTATGTTGTTTGTAAATCTACAGCCCGTTTTCTGAGTCCTCTTGCTTGTTCAAATTCGCTCAAGTCTCCTTTACTCAGGCACTGAAGATGGCAGCATCACTTTGGCCAGAGACAATTACGCAATACTTTATCAAGACTTGTCTGGCTTGAAGCGAGCTCACAACATTAGAACTTATACCTCGTGTTTAAATTCAACACACTGCGGTCTTTCTCTTCGAAGCCTGTTCAGATGCGAAGGTGTGGTGTTTCGAGGTGAACGCTCGGATTCCCGAAGCCTAAGCGCGAAAGTGTGGATTTGTGTGCCAAGGTAGGGGGACTAAAGCAATTGGAAGATGACAATCTTGAGTTATCCAATTGGGCACTTGAGGTGGAAGTCGGGTATCCAACCTTAGCCGGGCGGTCCGGAATTCCGGCGTACCCCAGATTTCCAGCCGAGGTGGCATTTAGGTACGTACCTGGACCCACCCGGTCCGGGACCGACCTGCGAAGCCGACGGGAGCAATCTTGGATGGGATGGATGTACGCAAGTGCTCCTGTAAGACTATGAGAACAATCACTATTGATTTCTTTTACTAGCTTTCTGTAAACAACCATCTCAATATGACGAGTCCCAAAGCTGTTAGAATCGTCGAGGTTGGGCCCCGCGACGGCCTTCAAAATGTTAAGACTGTGGTGGATACTTCGACGAAGCTGGAATTCATCCAAAGACTACAGGGTGCAGGGCTCCAGAACATTGAGATCACGTCTGTCGTTTCACCAAAGGCTATACCGCAACTTGCAGATTGTCGCAAAATACTTTCGGCCCCTGCTGTGAAGAAGTGGCAACAAACCGATAACACACTGCGTCTACCAGTTTTGGTTCCGAATGTCAAAGGGTTACGCATCGCCCTCGAACATGGTGTTAGAGAAGTGGCTGTCTTCGTCAGTGCGACAGAAGGCTTCAGCCGAGCAAACATCAACTGTACTGTCGATGAGAGCTTGAAGCATGCCAAGCAGGTGGCTACCGAGGCCAGGGCAGCCGGGGTGCTTGTGAGGGGGTAAGTTCGTGTTTCTTTTCTGGAATGTTTGTTGGCCTTTCAGTCTCGATTTGCCGTCAGCTAACTTCATTCATCTTATGATGGCAGATACGTTTCTTGCATCTTCGTCGACCCTTTCGACGGTCCTACCCCTTTACCTGCAGTCTCCCGCGCTGTGCGAGCCTTACTTGACATGGGCTGCTACGAAGTCAGCCTTGGAGATACTCTGGGTGTCGGAACACCACCAGACGTTCGACGGCTGCTCGGTTATCTCAAGAGTCAAAAAATACATACCGAGAGATTAGCTGGCCACTTCCACGATACCTACGGGCAAGCTCTAGCCAATGTGTGGGCGGCTTATGAATGCGGTCTGCGAACATTTGATAGCAGCGTTGGCGGTCTAGGCGGTTGCCCTTTTGCACCAGGTGCCAAGGGAAATGTGGCCACGGAAGATGTTGTATACCTGTTCCAACAGGCTGGTATTGATACCGGTGTAGACCTCCAGCAAGTAGTTGACATTGGGGTCTGGATCTCCCAGGCCCTTGCGAAACCCAACGATAGCCGGGCTGGAGCGGCTCTCGCCAGCAAATCCCAGAGGTCATCGACAAGATCATCATCGAACATCACCGATGGGCCAAAGGAAGCGTTGGAGTGGGCAGTCTTGGAACAGTCTGACAACATTGTCGTTCGGCGGGCCGGGGCGAACGGTAATATCGTTCTCAACAAACCCCGAAACGGAAATACCCTCACTTTTCCGATGTTATCCGAGATCATCCAGGCATTCAAGTCATGTGAGAACGATGCCTCCATCTCTCGTGTTCTTATCAGCGCAAATGGCAAATTCTTCTGCACTGGGATGGACCTGAGCCAGGCTGCACAGGCAGTTGGCCGGGGCGGCGACGCAAGCTCGAAGCTGTTCCATGCATTGACAGACTTATTCGAGCTCATCGACAACTCTCCAAAGGTCACAATCGCCTGCATACAAGGACCGGCTTTCGGCGGTGGCATTGGATTAGCATTTGCTTGCGACATCAGGATTTCCATCAGCTCGGCAAGCTTCACGTTGTCCGAGGCCAAACTTGGCATGTGCCCTGCCGTAATTTCGAAATACGTCATCAGAGAATGGGGATTTGGACTCTCGAGGGAAGCCATGCTCACCGCACGATCTCTGACAGCTTCCGAGCTGAAGTCTGCTGGTGCCATCTCGATGGTTGCTGAGACGCCCTCACAACTCGACATCATGACGAAAACCCTCCTCGCGCAACTTCGACACTCGTCTCCCGGGGGTTCAAGCATGTCGAAAGAATTAGTTAAGTTAAGTTGGAAACACGCGGGTATGCCAGAGCAACGTGACGGAATCTCCAGGCTTTTCAAGTCAATGATGGAGCCTGGGTCTGATGCCGTCCATGGCATAGCAGAATTCCAGCAGAAGCGTAAGGTTGACTGGGATTCCTACTTGAATCAGGCTCCACGGGCAAAGATCTAGCATAAGAAATCTATTTCAGGACGTAGAAGCGTATTTCAACTCCTTTGAGAGACCACAGATTTGGTGACTTTCCAAGCGCAGAAACAAGCTGCAACTCAAAACCAGCTGTAATACCCACAACCAGGTTGGCTCATCCGGATGAAAAGAACGGGGAAGTGAATCCACCGCGCTGCTGCGGGCCGTAGATGCCCCCACGCGCACATACATAAACCCCGGTTACCCCGCATTACGGCTCAGCATTACCCCATATCAATGTCCATCGGTCACTTCACTTTGGGGCGGACGAACGCGTCTAGGACTTTAGCAACTATATTCATTACATCATTTCGTCTTGCCTTGAAAACTGTAGACAACATCAACATGGCGGAGCCCGCGGAATCATCCATAACGAGGCCAGAGAGAAGTCCAGAGTCGAGGTCACCACCAACCACCGCAGGCATCAAACGCATCCGCCAGGCCTGTACCAGTTGCCGGTAGAGTTCCAAGCCCTTCATCCCTTCGTTGGTGCAAGCCCTATCAAAGGTCAAGTCGCGTGAACTTACAGAGAAGCTGATATGACGCCATTTCTCTTAGACAGAAGAAGATCAAATGTTCTGGAGATCGACCAAGATGTATCAATTGTCGACGGGTGATGCAGCGGTGCCAGTACGAGCCCTACTCGGCGGTCTCGGCATCCCTTTCTGGGAACTCGACCGCATTGCTTCTTGGCTTGACCAAAGATGTAATCACTGTGACAGTTGTCTGGCCCCAGGAGATCAGTAAACTGACAATTTGACCCTATCTAGACGGACCTTCTACAGAGAATTTCTATGATTGAAAGCAAATTGGCTCAGTTGAGCGACCGCGAATCTCAAGAATTCAGGTATGTGTTCATCTGGGTGGTCAAATTATACAACCCAGAACTGTTGTGCTAACACAGCTTAGTTCCGCCGCTTTCAGCGAGGCTAATCTGCCTATGGAAGACCACAATACTGTGGAAGAGCAGCCTCAATTCCAATTAAAGGAACACGAAAATGTTTTAGGCGTGCCTGATTTGGTCAACCAATCATCACCCAACATCTCAACTACTTGGCGTTCGGGAAGCTCGCAGTCCCAGTAAGTCTTTCTCGGCGTCTTTTGCAGCTTGAAGGACTCTAGAAAAGCCAACATGACCTTGCAGAACGTTTAGTACATTTCCGCCGGATTCGGTAACACAGTCGCTGGTCGACACTTTCTTTCAATGGTGTCATAATCAACCATACTCTTACTTTCACGAAGGAAGCTTCCGGCAGAAACTAGCGGATGGCCAGCTTTCGAAATGTGTGCTCTTAGCTGTTCTAGCATCTTCCTTGAGGTTTTCAGAACACGAATACTTTCGAGATAACAGATCCAATGCGATTGAGGCATATGCAAGAGAAGCTTGGTTGTCCGTTCTCGGCGACCACATGACGGTGGAAGATTCTTGCAACCTCGAGGTCGCCCAAGCCACCAACATCCTGGCCATCATTGACTTTACCGGTGAGTATTTCGACAACTGGGCCTTGCTTGGTACTAACGCCTTTGTCAGCCGGCCGAACCAGCTCCGCATGGCTCAAGATTGGGATGGCGATTCGGATAGCCCAGGATCTCCAACTTATGAAAGAGCCCAGTGAAACTCTTCCTCTGGTGGAGCAGGAAGAAAGGAGGAGATCCTTCTGGTCAATCTACCTTCTCGACAAACTAGTCTCCCTCGGCAAACACAGACATTTCGCCATCTTAGACGAGGACTGCCATGCGCGACTACCTTGCGACGAGCTGACATTCCGTTCTGGCGGATGGGGCCAAAATGTGACGCTCCGTCAGCTTCTCGATTGGAGCACCGATATTGGCGTTGAAGGTGGATTTCCAGTTGCCATCTTGGCATCATCAGTACTCGCTCGCTGCACTCGAAGGCTTCTTCACGACCGCACTACCGATGAGACTCCCCCGTGGGACTCGAAATCGGAGTTTGCATCAATCACATCCCTCCTTCTCCTCGTCGAGTCCCGCCTCCAAGTCGATCAACATCTCATCAAGAATGTTGTCGATACCTATAGGCTTGATGATGGTGTCATAGATCACCCTGCTATGGGTCACGTCATCTTTGCACGCACAGTATTCCATGTCTGCCACTGCCTTCTGTATCATCCGTTCCTTGTGCGAGAGCAAGTTCGGAAAGTCAAGTGCCAAGTTCCATCGAGTTTCATGCGCCTCGCCTCACAGAAAAGCTACGAACATGCTCGGGATCTGGTCAACTTGCTACACGATGCCGAAGCAGTAGGGTGTCATCTAGGTGCTTCATTCTACGCATATTCAGCGTGTCTAGCTGGTAGCATTCTCTCGCTTCACATGCACGCCGAGAAGGATACCGAGAGCCAGCGCTACTTGGACCTATTGAGTGCAACCCAAGACAGTATATCAATACTTGAAGGAATGGCAAAGTTTTGGGATCATGCGTCCAAAATCGTAAGTTTTCAAATACTCGATGAGTTGATGTATATGATGCAATGTATGGGCTAACCTTAGTATAGCACCATCGGCTGCTAACTTTCAATGCGAACGCGTATCTTTTCGATTCGCTCCTTGACTCGCATCTGAAATCAGTCATGGATCCAGGATGGGAGAGATCCCTCTGGTCGATGGTCGATTACGGGGAGATGTGCCGAGAATCAAATCTATCAATCCCAAGTCCGAAAATACCAGCGCCTTCAGATTCTCCGAGCTTTCCAGACCTCGAACTAGAAAGTGAACAGATGCTGGACTTGGGACTTGATGTACAGCAAACATCACAGATCGACGACAACCTGATGAATTTTGATACTCCTAACATCAAGTATCTTCTTGAGCTGGCTTCTGGCGGAGGGTAGCACAGCCTCAACTTAATGCAGCGGCTCATCCTACCTACTTTTGCAAACGGATATCTCGCTGGTAGGGTCGACAAAGGGATTGTCATGCTAGACGGACACACACATTCATAGTGTGGCATTCTAGAAGTGGCCTTAAGCTACTAGGTACTGTTGAAGGAATCATCATGTTAGAGAGCAAGCAAGCAGTGACGCAGAAGCGTACCTACCTTACTGAGGGCAACTTATATCCATGGGTAGCGAGGAAGTTGACGTCAAAGGGAGGAAAGAGCAATGGAAAGACGAAATTCGACTGTCTTAGCTATCCACTCAAGGTGTCTACCTCATGTCCATCTTTCTTGACGAGCATGGAAGGTACCTAGTAGGCAGCACCTACATCCCTAGGCAGTACTTTAGGCCGGGTTGCTTTCACAACTGACTTTTGTTTGTCCCTTTCATTCCGCTCTTTCCTCTTTGTCACACACACAGTGCCACACCTTTTATCAAGGTCAAGTAGAATTCAAAGGCAGGCGATATCTTCACTTAGTCTACTTAATTCCCCCCACCCTGCGAAGACTTTTCTTCCTTCCATCACCGCACACCAACCCGCCAACATGGACCCCAACAAAATCAATTGGAAGGATGCCTTCTTGTTCTTTTACTGGGACTTGCGCGATGAAGATTCAGATTCTCCTCTTGCAGGCAAAGCGAAATACGACAACTTCGTCATGGAGTTCTTGAAGGGAGAGCGCTTGCCTCTCAACACCCTGTCCCGCCCCAAGTCATGGAATCACCTACTATGGCACCTCATGCGATCCTCCCTGTATCAGACAGGCAAGTACCTACAACATTTTTCTGCGCGTCACATTCTGACCTAACTTTCAGGCCTGAACTTGGGAGAAAACGGCAGCAAGAGCAACTACAATTGGCTCTACGATTCTCCCTCTGAGACCGAAGAACCCTGGGTGAACTGGATGGAATTCCTCGACATCTACAGCGAACAAGTCGAATTTGACGAACGAAGAGAATACGTTAATCGCATATCCTGGGTTCTGGATTACCTGGAGGAACGCGCATACGCAAACATCCATTGCAACTTGACAATGAACGAGGCCTGGGCCAGCAACCCCTATCTTCTGGAATTCGGAGACAGTCAGGGTCTTCGGCTTGACTGGGCGGTGTCGCTGCCCATCACTGGGGCTTCATCATACGAACTAGGATTGCCTTTTATTCTCGACCAAGGGTTCACCATCAAACATGAGGTCGCTTCGAACGCCATCCGTCTTCATTCTGATAGAGACCGGCTAGGAAATCGAATCTTGCTCAGCGCAGCACACTTCTACTACACGAGGATACTTCGATGGGCTGAGTACATGTCGGATCAAGGCAGAGTTTCGAGCATTGGCAACTTCTTCCTAAGAGGTTCCGAGATTCGCCACTGGTCGAAGCCGTACAAAGCCGCTGATAGATTGCGCATCACGAAGGAGCTGTGGGAGAGCATCAGAAGATAGGCCAACAAGGCTAGCTGTCGGATTGGACTTCCAATCTGACTGCGAGTCAAGGAGAGTGCAGGGGCAAATTCGACCCTCAACTAAACTCCAATCGACTCTCCCACCTACAGTTCGAGCCTCCCTTTTACATACCACGCAGAATCAATCAATAGACAGCAATTGGCCCTTCGTCGCCCACAGAACCGGACGGTTCGACCCAACAACCCTGTGATAGGGATACCAACACTGGGGCTTCGCAAGCCTAGCGGACTGCTTTTGAAGGGAGAAGAAGGCAGAGGCCATTGAATGAGATGAGCCTCGAGATGGCAGTTACATTTAGTATCTTGGGCGTTCTCGGGCGAGACGGGTACTGCAGTTTCAGGGTTGAGTTGCCAATCGCTCTGGACGAACACCGCCACGCAAAATAATGGAAGACCTTTCTCCGAAGGAAACCTGGTAGAACTAAATGAATATTTTGCCAGAATGAAATACTGCCTCGAGAGTGTTGGCCTTTTGCTTTGTGACATAGTTGTTTCTTAAGCGAAGCGATCATAGCCCGGCTTCAAAGGCCTACCTCCCACATCCGCGAGCAACCCGGGCAGTGGAAGTCAACCCAGTCTATTGGATGCGTATCATGGTCGCTAATCAAGGCCGGTGCGGTCAACAGGCGAGACGCATCACCTTACCTTACTTGGCGGTGCTGAAGGTGTCTAGGTTCCACCTTTTCCCCTCCCGTCACCAGAAGGGCAGGAAGCCTGAGGCGTACCTTCCGCAAACGCCACGAGGAGCCCTCATGTACCCCGTCAAGTCCATTCCTGTCACCAGCCAACAGGCGCCCCCCTAGGTCGGGGGGTCAGGGCAAACTGGCTGGGTGGTGGAGAGGTTAATGGTCCAACAATTATACGACAACCAGCCTACTCGACGACAGGCTTAGCGAGTACCCGAGTTCGAGTCCCAGCATGAGCACTAAGAGATGTAGCCCCCAGTTCAGCACCGGGGGGGTGAACTCTTTTGCTTTTTTGGTGCTTTGGATCTTTTTATGTGCTTATATGATGGAGGTCTAAGCCACCGTACTTCACTGACGACTGTTGCTCGCCTGTTGACCAGTCCCCTCGCACTCCCCTCGAAGGAGAGGGCCCGTTTCGGGTTCCAAACATAGACCCTGACTTGAGTAACGTAGCTCAATGGTTTTTCGTTTTATTTCCAAGTAGAAATGCGCCACATTGGTATGATACCAGGTAATTCCTTTCTTCTTTTCTTCAAGGCGAAAGAGGTTTCATGTGTGAAAGACAGTGCCGCCTCCAAGCCGACCTCGACGACCGAAATTAAACCCATCGTGAAATGAGAATAGAAATTTACGGAAACCCTAAAGAGTTGACAAGTTTCCCGTAGATTGGCAGTTGCAATGTATGGATATATATATATCACCTGTTCAAGAAGCATCAAGACCAAGGTACTCCTGACATCGACCGATATACCATTCAAATCACTGCCATGGGTTTGATGACACTAGTCCACTTGGTCTTTCTCTGCATCGCGCTTCACCAGTTGTTGAAAACAATAGCCATTTGGCTGATAACTGGCAGTTGGCACACTCTCTGGAGGATCCTACCGTGTATCGCAGACGACGAACAGTTCAATATGACCGACCACGGGACTTCACTCAACTGGAGCGACGAGTTCTCCTTCCTCATCTTCGACTACTCGCTCCTCTCTGACGATGAGACTTTGATCCGACTCTTCCTCGCATGCGTGATGATCAGGCACCAGTCAATCAGAAGCAAAGACAAAGAACAGGATGTAGATCCTTCACATTGGATATACTACCCCTGGCGGGTCATGGAGGCTATCAAGCCGCGTTTTGGTATGTATCGGGGCATCTCTCGATTCACTGAGCTTCATACCAGGTATCACTAACGTGTTCGGTGTGGAAGTGCAAAACGATGGCGACTTTCCAATCGAATTGAACTCTGAAAGCGCACCCCCTAGTCCAGTGCCCGTTCCCGGCGTTGGTCATCATATTGAGCAAGGTAAGCGGCTCACACACCCGCCTCATGACACCGACCTACCCTCTCCGCGAGACAATTCAATGCTCGCCTACCTCCGCGAGGAGTTCGACAAGGGTAGCGCGCTCACCGGCGAACCATTCAACATCCGGTACGAGCTAGGTATGTTCCACCGGGACCTCTGCCAGCGACTCACGATGTACCACTACCACCGCCTGCGCAGCGTCGGTCCCATCACAAGACAAGTCGTCGCTGCACGAGCCAATAGCCTCTGGGCGAGCAACCCGTCTCTCCGCCGCTTCGAGCAGCAGCACGAGACGGTACCATGGGGCGTTCCCGTGCCCTTTCTAACCTTCCGGCTTCTCAGCTTTCTCCCGGCGCCCATCGAGCCCGGCCCAGGGCTGGAGCGGTCGTGGGTCAGTCAGTTCCAGATTGTCTGTAGTCCAATCGCCCGCATCGCCTACGTCCGGATTAAGCCGGGCCGTGGTTATACTGTGAACGGGATGACGGTCGAGGAGGCGGAGTGGATGATTGGCGGGATGAGGCTTCTCCACGTGGAAATGCTGAGTATCTTGGGGCTCTGTCGTCACCAACCGATGTTCTGGTCGGGTGAAGATTTGGCTGCGTTTGCGCAGGATGTCTTTGATGGTGCTGCGGTGAAAGGGAGAGTTCATTTGGATGCGATCTCGAGTGCCAAGGAGCATTGGAGGCTTATCCGGGAGATGGAAGGTGTTTGATCTCCCTTTAGCTTTTTGGGCGGACTGAGAGAGAGCTTCAATGGGAGCATTTTGTCGTTTATTATTGCTTTCCTGAATCAGGGTAGATTTCTTCTAGTTTGTTAGTCATGGTAGACTTTGGGTGGTCGATGTTCAAGTATCCAATCATTGTTTTTGTGTTTCAACTCTGAAATATGCACCCGCAAATCGAAGAGTGCAAGCATCCCATTTGCTTGACTTGTCGCTAGATAGGAAGTGGCAGACGACGAACAAATAAACCGAAGTGGAGGTAGAAGTTCGAACGTGGAATCGTTGTCTACCCCTGTCGCCAATGCCGGACGGATCGTATTGGCATCGGTGATCGTCCGTCGGCCAAGGAGGTCAAGCTCCGGAACATTGAGAATCGTTCGCTTGGCGAAACGGGGGCACCGTGGTGGCGATCCACTTCGCGACCAGTCCGTCAGGGTCAGCCGACCCGGACCGTAAGTCCGGAGGGCTGACGGGGGCGTGCAAGCATTTCAAGAGGATTCTTCGCTCGAGTTCCTAACTTCTTATCTTGAAATCCATGATGGGAGATCAAAATACTCACCGCAACTACGCGCTTGCGATTATTTTTCGTGGCCGTCGGGCGAGATTGTTTTTCCTCCGCGACGGATTACCTGTTCAGGCTCTATGCATCCATCAACAGGACTTTCAGTGGGTAAGCCTGCGTGATTGGTCGCTGCAACGAATGAGGAAGGGAGAATCGGATTTTGCATTTCACGTGGACTCGTGGAGTCTCCAGACCCAGATATGTCTCGAGGCGGAGGAGAATGGAGGGAAAGGTGGAGGATGGGAAGTTAGAAAAATCGTGTTACATAATCCGTCGCCCGAAAAGCCGGGCTCAATCGGAGGATTCAGGGACATTCTCTACGATATGGTGTGCTTCATTGGCTAATCTTGCAGGATTATCTGGACCTGAATTACAGAACGATCATTATACTGGAGCGGTCGGCAGATTGAGGAGGGGAAAGGTAACGTTGACTACAGGCGTACGTGAGTCGTGAGGTGATGTCGTACGAGGCATCCACATGCAATGAACCTGAATGGCGGCTGCAATAACCTTGGTAAAAGCAATAAAATATAAAATATAAAGTAGAGAAAATGAGAGAGTTAATTGAATGGTTGGTTGATGATGGGCTCGGAATGCTTCGGTTGACTGCGTTTCATCGACATTCGGGCCGTCAGGAGGCATCCGAATCTTGGCAACATCCAGGCGCCGGCTGAGGCTGCGGGAGTGGCTGATCGTCTAATCCTTTTTGCTTTCACTTTGACTAGCTGGCTGAGTAAGAGTTTGGCTGTGCATATGATGTCGTTGAAATACGAACAAAGCAAGGGTTAGACTGGCATGGCTCATCTCAAAACCCCCGGTTTATCCTTATCTTCCTTCATGCCATTGTTGCACGCATCGTTACCTACAGCAAAATAGTAGTCGCGCATCAATCAGATGATGTTGCGGGGAGTGACTGAATAAATGGAGATAGGATGGGCATGTGCGTTGGAGCGTCCCATGGAGAGAAGGAAACGAAGGCTGGAGAGAAGCTGGAGAGAAAAGACTGGAGTGCCTGGTGGAGATGCGAGAGAAAGAACGGCTGGAGACGGCACCGCTTAATTACACTGCATCCCGTTCTGTGCGAGTTCGGGCCCACTGGTCCAACGACGTCATAATGTGTGTCCATTGGTGCTATGCATTCCGCTTTGCCCAGTTTGGCAGCCCGAAAAGGTGACTGCCTACTGGTGTCATTGGGGAGTTTAAATAGAGAAATGGAGACAGTCGTCCCAGAGCAGCTAAGCATGGGAATAAGAAATCGGGGAGAAGTAAAAAATTTACGACCATGGATCGTCATTGCTAAATCCTTGCGGATCTCTCTTTCTTCTGATGTGCCAATCATGGTGTTTCTTGACTTTGCCAGGTACAGCTGAGGGCTGCCTGCCACTCCCGTCGTGAACTGCGACGCCACTAGAGCCGCGCAAGACAAGGCACATTCATGAGTACGGAAAGGTGCCGTGGGTGGTAGGTATTTTCCACGGGCAAACAAGCTTTGGAAGCCGCCCTTCGCCAAGTCGGCTGCCGCTCTACCGCAACTTGGCACCAGCCTCAAGTACGTACCTCCCACCTCTGACGCTCCTCTGGCAGGAGCCGAAGCGCGAACTTCCACGCACCACCAAAACCTGCGTCCGGATGGGCAGCGTGACTGGAATTTGACAGCACCGAAACGGTGTCGACGATTTCAGCCATCAAAATCTCACTAGAAGAAAACGTTTCCAAGGGCAGCGTCAAACTTAATTACTCCACATATTGGCTAGACTGCCACGCTATGCTTGTTCCTCGTTGGCTCCTCGCAAACCACTACATCTCGACCCTCCTCCGGACTCCCTCCGGCGAATCCACAATGTCGACGATCCGCACCCATCCCCGATTTTTCATCACAATTGTCCTGTGACCGCTCGCGACTGCAGCTTCCATTGAACGGTCGACGCTACCTTGGTTCTCAGTTTGCTTACTACATTGCCCTGCTACGGTAGCCTTCTGTCTATCCTTCAACTCGCCCGCGCCCGTATCCCACACACCCACGCCCCCTCCAACGCTGCGTCTTGTTTAAGTGGGACGTGCTGCGCTAGAGGTTGCCTGTTTCGCGCCACCGACAATGGACGGTGATGTCACGGGTGGGCGACTGCACGTTTGGGAAGCCGGCAGGGCATGGCTCGATGTCGACAGCAACAGGCGCGTTGGGTCATGGCGGCAGGGTCTGCGTCCCTCGGCTTCCGTCCGAAGTTGACCGCCCCATTGATATATCTCGAAGCCTCGCCCGAGCATTCAAAGTTGGTTGATCCCTTGGTTCTCTCGAATCATCCAGAATTTTGGTCTCTCTTTAGGTTGTCCATACGCCTGATTATCTCTCTCATCCTGCTTCATCCTCGGCTGTTCTCCTGAATAACAGGAGGCAGCGACACACTCACCTCCTCTTGGCCATCCTCCACCTTATACCTACATGATAACAGCTCAACATGGCTGGCACACGATTTGCTGAGGAACCGCCTCAGGTCATTAACCAGGCCGACCTCGAAGTCGCCAACGAGAAGCTCGAGTCCCGCGACGAGCGTAACGTCAATGGCGATACCAGCGCTAGCGACACAGCAGCTTCAAAAGAGCACGATCCAACTATTGATCACTCAGAGCACCTGAATGGCAATGGAGCCCCCAATGGCAACGGTAATGGCGCCAAGCTTGAGAAGCTAGGCACCTACGATAAGTACGAAATCACCGAGGACGACTGCTACGAAGAGCTAGGCTTCTGTTTCCCCAAGTGGAAAAAGTGGTACATCCTCACCGTCATCTTCTGGGTCCAGGTCTCGATGAACTTCAACACCTCGCTCTACTCCAATGCTATTGGCGGCATCTCGGAGGAGTTCAACGTGAGCGCCCAGGCTGGTCGCTGCGGTGCCATGATCTTCCTCGTGCTATACGCCTTTGGCTGCGAACTCTGGGCCCCGTGGTCCGAGGAGTTTGGCCGCTGGCCGGTTCTTCAGCTCTCACTATTCCTCGTCAACATTTGGCAGATTCCCGTGGCTCTGGCACCCAACTTTGCCACCATAATGGTAGGTCGCGCCTTGGGCGGTTTGTCGTCGGCTGGCGGCTCCGTCACACTCGGTATGATTGCCGATTTGTTCGAGTCCGACAAGCAGCAGTATGCTGTCGCATACGTCGTCTTCTCCTCGGTCGGAGGATCCGTTCTGGGTCCCATCGTGGGTGGCTTCACTGAGGAATACTTGCACTGGAGGTATGTGCCATCTGGCAAACACTACTCTGATTGACAGCAACTAATGTATGTGCTTAGATGGTCCATCTGGGTCCAGCTCATTTTCGGAGTTGCTGTCCAGGCCGTTCACGCCCTTACCGTTCCCGAGACACGTACAACCATCATGATGAATCGCATCGCCAAGAGACGCAGAAAGGAGGGTAACCCCAACATCTGGGGCCCCGACGAGCTCGTACCCTTCAAGGACCGCTTCTCGGCCAAGGAAGTCATCACGACCTGGATCCGTCCCTTCAAGATGTTCCTCACCGAGCCCATTGTTTTGGTGCTGTCGCTTCTGTCCGGTTTCTCTGACGCTCTCATCTTCATGTTCATCCAGTCGTTCGTCCTCGTCTACGGACAGTGGAACTTTACCACCGTTCAGGTCGGGCTGGCCTTCATTCCCATCGGTATCGGTTACGTTCTCGCGTGGCTCCTCTTCATCCCAGCCATCAAGCGCAACATCAAGGAGCGTGCGGCCAAGCCTAACGATGACAGAGCGCAGTACGAGTCTCGTCTTTGGTTCCTGTTGTACACCGCGCCTTGCTTACCAATTGGCTTAATTGGCTTCGCCTGGACTATTCAGGGACCTCCCATCCACTGGATCGGCTCTATGGTCTTTGCAGCAATTGTCGGTATCGCCAATTACGCCATCTATATGGCCACCATTGACTACATGATCTGTGCCTACGGACCTTACTCCGCGTCAGCGACTGGTGGCAATGGTTGGGCCCGTGACTTCCTCGCAGGTGTCCTTACCGTCCCTGCCACGCCTTTCTTCACCAATATTGGCGCAGGCACTGGGAAGAACCTCGAATATGCCTGCACGATCCTCTTCTGCATCTCCTTCATTCTCGTTGTCGCTGTCTATGTCATTTACTGGAAAGGTCCTACCCTGCGCGCCCGCTCGCCGTTCGCACAGAAGTTGGCTGGTGCCAGAGATGATGCAGGCGGTCGTCGTGTCAGCCATGTTGGAGGTGCAGACAGGCCGGCAAGTATTGCTTCGGGCGCTTCTGGCGCCGAGCGTCCTGATCGTCCCGTGTACGGTCGTTCTTATAGCCAAAACTCGCGCTTCTTTGGCGAGAATCGCGTTACGCCCCGCGGCACTCCCAGGGGTACTCCCTCTGCCAGCAGACGTAACAGTTACGTTGGTAATAGACGCCAGGTCGCAAAGTAATGTCTATTCCATGGGGAGCCCTTGGGCCTCATGTAGGCTCCAAAAGTTGATTTCACGATCTTTGATACCCTACACCTAGTCTTATTTAGCTAGACATAGTCATAATACAATCAATCATGAATACCACAGCATACCGCATATAGCATATAGCCTCTGTGTCATGCATGTGGTATCACTCTTTCAGCCGACATTTATACCCAGGCCTAATGCTTTACATGTCACTATATCTCAACCTGGTCAGAGAGTAGTCAAGGATCGCAATCTTTTATAAGCCTTGAGCAGTCACCTTTCAGGCTGCGAGTGTTCCCCCTCAACAAAGTGCTTCTGCGAAGCTGACAATACCGATAGCCGATTGCCAGTCGTTAATCAACACAACCTCCTACGGGAAAGGATCATACTCGCCTAATCCCGTACACACACTATCCATATCAACGCCATCAATCCGCTCCACCACTTTCCCACCCGCTCCAAACCGAAGGACGTCTCCCCCGTTCGCCTCACTCACAATCCGTGGTTGCCATCCGAACTCCTTCTGCGGACCATGATACGGGTCCTCAGCAAACGCCATGATGCGATCCTGCATCGCGTGGCTCACCTCAACCTCGAACTCCGTCGTCGGCGCAATATGATCCAACAGCCCATATGTTCCAAACACCAAAGGCGTCTCGCTGTTGTGATACGCGCCCAGCCAATCGTACACATTCAGATTAGGGAACTCGGCCGCATACTGGAACCGGAACACGGGGGCCTCGGTGGTGCTCAGCTGATTCCGCGCGACGGTGGCGGCGTACGCCGCGCACACCCATACGACGTCAGCCTCCGTGACCAACGGCTGCCAGGGCCCTTCTGTCAGGTTCTCCTTCGGCCAGGGGACTAGTGAGGAGAATTCGTTGGCTGTGAGGGAGATGAGGACCGGACGGCGGGCTAGTTTGCCCTCTGCTGCGCGGGCCTCGTAGTCGCGGAAGATGATGCGTTCGTCCTGGACTAGGGAGAAGAAGATTGCGGGCGCCTCGCCCCGGTCGGTGTACTGTCCGATGAAGTTGCTGATTTGTGTTGGGGAAACCCGGCGCATACAGTCCAGCTCCGCCGTGCCGTCTTCGTCTTCGCAGTCGGCGCCGCAGGGGGATCCGCAGCCTACGTTCTGCGCGACAAAGGTGAAGTTGGAGAACGTCGTGTCCGCTTCGATGCCGGACTGAGCGACGCCGGATTCCATGTAATATGACTGGGCGATCGGGTCGTCGTAGTACGCGTAGGCATGGATATCTGCGCTGACGGACCCTGCGGACCGGCCCCACTGCATGATGCGGTCCGGATCGCCGCCAAAGGCCGCGATATTCTCCTGTACCCATTCTAAAGCGGCGCGCTGGTCTAAGATGCCTAGGTTTTGAGATATGCCTTCCGTGGCTAACCCGCGCGCGTTGGGGAAGCCAAAGATGTTGACGCGGTAGTTAATCGTCACGATGATGGCAGACTGGGAGCGCTCGACCCACGACGTTGGGATCTGCCAGGGGAGGTCGATGCCGCCCATAATGAACCCGCCGCCCGTCATGAAGAAGAGGACGGGGAAGCCTGCTTTTGTGGGCGGTGGGGTTGTGGGTTTCCAGATTGCAAGGTAGAGGCAATCTTCGGAGGTTGCTTCGCCTTCCAGGCCCGAGGTGTCGTTTTGGGCGCCGTTGTAGATTAGGTTTCCCTTTGTGAGGGGCAGGTTCCACATGGATTCTACGGACGATACGAATTGGGGGCATGACGGTGGGAATTTTGTGGCGTATTGGGGTCTGGTGGTGTTGTTTGGTTGGAGCTTTGCGGGAGGGAGCCAGCGGCGGGATGCGACGGGGGGTTCGGCGAAGGGGATGGAGCGCCATTGGAGGGTGTTTGGGGCGTCTGGGTCGACTATGCCTGTGAATGTTCCGGTTGAGGTTCTCACGGTGAGAGGGTTATTCGAGTGTGAAGAGTTGGTGTTGCTGGCTGCTGAGCGGACGCTCGCGACCGAAGCGAGGAGGGATAAGATGACGAGCTTCATCTTGAGATTGGGCCTGCTGCTACCAAGAGTTTCAGACCACTCGAAAATTAGCACGTCTGTTGCAACTAGATATATATGATCTCTAGACTCTTATCTATACTTGGTGTTGGATGCCCCGCCTCGCCCGGCTCTGGTGATCTTGATCTCGTTCTAGAAGGTAGTAATGCGACGCGCATGTGGTCAGCAATCCTTTGAGAGGAAACAGGGCAACTGCTAGCGAGTTATTTAACGAATTCAGACTTGGCTATAAGCACTTAGCCTTGAGGTGAAATTCGGGGCGAATTAAACCATAACTTTTCATCTTCCGTCTAACTTTCTTTCTTTTAGTAGACGTCTACGATGTTGGTAGTTGACTTCCATCATACTCGCAAATATTGTAGTGTGACGATAATCGCTCGACCCAATCAGTCGCTAATGGAAATCGACAATCTCCTGGTCTCACCGCGATCTATCGGAACTCAGATTTGTTAATAACTCTAGAATCTTCGTCATGCAGCTTTCTCATCTCGAAGTGATCAACATAGGCACACTACAGCCGTGCGTCGCAAGATTATTGAGGCTAAGCTGGAACCTCCTGGCAATTCGAAGTGAGTTCAGCACCAAGAGATTTTCAGTGTTCCTCGCAAGCTTCCTATCGGCAGTCTTCTAAAATAAAACACCATGATCCCATCATTCTGGCCCGATCCCAGTTCGCCTTGACTGCGACTAGCACCTGTACCAGCACAAGAAACTATGCCCAGTCTGCCCGCTCGGAGGCGTGTAACACTTCCCGCTACCAACAATAGCGTTTCCAGTCTCGCCAATCTGGTTTTGGCAATTGCTGTCATAGTACAGGTGGCAGTTGGTCCCGTAGGTCCCGTCGCCGACGGCTCTGAGGCTGGCGATGGCGTCGGAGGAGGAGTAGCATTGTCCGCTGCATCTCTGTTGTGAGAATTCAAGTCAGTTTCGTATCTTTGAAAGATTATCCCACCTTATGTTGAGTAGTGACGAGAGAGAGTCTGAGAGGGGCGGAAGGGGGCAGGGAGAGGTGTTCAAGGGTTTGAGACATACACCGGGTCCGATTGCTCCGATTTGGTCGCTACAGCCGGTACCGCGGTAGTACCGGCCGCATTGGCCGTTGACGACGCCGGGCACGGCGCAAGCGGCACGGCGCTGGAGGTCCGTGGCGTCGAGGTTGATCACGTCTGACGAGGTGCCTACGGCGACAGCAGCGCCCGTGGCAAGATTCGCGGCCAGGAGAACCACGATATTGGTGAGAAGCATTTTGAGAGGCTTTGATTGGGATGAGGGTTTTGGGGTGGTTGTTGAGCTTGCTTCCAGAGATTGGAACAGCGGCTTTGGCCTTCTCTATATAACAAAACTAGCATGTTGAATCCAGATTACGGGTCTGTTGCAAAGGCTATGTCATTCTCCAAGGTCCTCCTGATCTCGTTTGACAGTTTCACTGTGTCACGACCTCGCTCACTAAGATGATTCCCGCATTCCGACGCATGAGCTGCAATGTTCCCGCCAACGACCGTAGCGGCGTAAGCCAAATCTCACGATGTCTGCCCTTCCCCACTTCCCATTTTTGGTTGTATGAATCAAACGCACGCACGCAACAGTAAGCCCTAGTGGATGGTAGGACTGGTGCCCTCCTTAATGTTGGAGCGGCACAGAAACATTGTACGGCGGGATAATAGCCTATTGAGTACGAGGGGAATGATCATCCACCTAGGTCGATATTGTTTGGTCAAATCTCTGGTCTACCATCTGTTAAGTGGTTTTCACCTTGATCAGATTTCACCCCATTGCGAGAGCTGAGACACAGTTGTTCTCACAGTCGAGTGGTAACTTGTCAAGTAATGCAACATAATCCGAACCAAAGTTGCCATTGTGTTGGTACTGTTGGTAAGCCACTATTTTCAGTCTATCCAACCCGACTTCCATCCATTGAGGTTCTTGATTGGGTATCGAGGCGTTAGTCTAGGCTCTGTCTCACATGATGGGTCAGATTCAATGACGAAGTAAGTCGTTCTGATAGGCCATGTTTGATAGCCTATGCAATAGCTTTGACATTTACCGGTAAGACAATACTATAGGCCTTCACTGAGATGGCCATGTGACCTATGGCGATTTAGGAAACGTGTTTCAGCAACTCCTCAGCTGTGAGCAATTCCAAAATGATACAACGTCATAGGAATGCGCCGAGGATTGATTAAGTCGATAGGAACCCCTATGGTCCAATGATACTTGCCTAACTCTAGAACACCTAGTCGATTTTGGTATCTGCCTCCATGTTGCTTACAATACCTCTTAACAACAAACAATGTATGAGAGCAGTAAGCATGATCTCAAAGGAATCACATCCGGACTTTCGCTGGACGCATCTTTCGGCGTGAGCAGAGTTGCTACATAGTGAGGTATTACGAACAGCACCAGGTGCTGATGCTCGTCAATATTAAGCAGCTCTGTCTATGTATAGAGAGAAGATTTGACTTGCCATGGTCAATGCTGCAATTTCGGGTGGAAATGAAAGTTCCGTGAATCAATAACGTTCCGCAGAAAGAAGTTGTCTCAACATCAGTCCATGAGTGACTTGGAGCCGTTGATTATCATACGTGAGAAAGAGTTACGAGACACAGTTTATAACATGAACTCTTTGAGATTCCCTGCTTTCTTTTGCATATTTATACGTAGATACACGTCAAAGAATGATAGGCCTATCGTATATACGTCTTGCGGCCACGACCGGCGACAAGCTGCCCCGCGAGACACGTCATACGATGTGGCTTGTGTGCATTATTCTACTCGCCTGACTATCTTGTCTCTCTCCAGAAACGATCTGAGTTTGTTTCGGTCAACTTCCATACTTTCTTCCTAGAGATCGCTCTTGCTGACGGGCGACGGATTTTGGCCGGACTTACACGGCCAACCACAATAAAGCTTCTTACTTCATCTGCATACATGCTAATCTCGAGGGACCTTTTGGAGGCGGATTTGACAGTGAATCTAGACTCGAGGCGACAATGGCAAAGAGTCTAATTTGTGGGATCCGCGGGGCATATCCGAATCATCATGCTGCTGCCTGGATGATGGGTGAGACGGATCATGGATGTATGACAGAGCCGTCAGCTTTCAGAATTAGGCCCACCAAGCCATCTCAAATCCCGACTTGTCTTTTGATATCAACATCGTGGGCCGTAGTAATTCCATCAAGTTGCATTGAAATGCAATCCCTTCATCTTCCGTAGTTGCCTCTATCTCTTCAAATTCCGGCGTATCCCGCCGCCTTCGCCGAACCTGCCGAAAGCTTACTCGTCGGAATCGCCCCCCGACTCCCGGGCTAGTGATCCGGGGCTTCCTCGCTGGATGATTGCCATAGAGAAAGAAGTCTGGATCATGCTGTCTTCAAGAACCGGATGACCCGGTCATCGTGAAGTAACAGAGAGAGCCAAACTTCCTACGATCATGCGCCGATAACTCCAGAGGCTTTTTGTTCGTGATTGTGGCAAAAGTTTCCCAGCTTCGCCACGGGTCTGAATGCTGTTGAGTTGCTCGTGATCTACCCGATGACTCCGGCCGAGAGATGCATAAGCCGCCGCGAAGCGCCCAAGTGACCCGCGCATCACGTCCCGCCGGAACCGAAAACTCTCACGTTTGACAAGTTGGACTAGCCAAATTCCGCGGTGTTTGCCACAGAGTCGCCTGGTAAAACATTAAGCCTGGGAGGGAGAAAAAAACGGCTCGAGACGTTCGTGGAGTAAGATAGGCGTGCCGAGGAGTCATGGAGTTGGAGAAGCTGATCCTCGGCTGCTGCCCAGGGGATTCGAGAGTTGGGGCTTATTGAGTGCCAAGAGCCAAAAGCAGCCCTGTCATTGTTGCCCTATCGTCTGCACAAATTCGGAGCTTGCCGCAATTTCCTTGACGAGGCTGGAAGTCAAATTTGTCGGCGAGACCAGAAGACTAGATAGAACGAGGCAGCTTCTGCATCCTTGGACTTGACCACTTATGGTGGGTTTCTGGCACGAACGAAGAGTTGATTCGACGCTCTCAAAATCATACGAGATACTGAAAATTACTGAGAATACCACTGGTTGCATGACGCTTCGATTTGTTGGATGATTGCATTTGGAATACTTAGAAAGGATGGAGATGCCGTTAGATGAGGCTGTGAGGAGCTCAGGGCCAAGGCTTGAGAAGAGCACTACAATGCGTGGGGTAGGTAATGGAAAATGGGGACTAGGACTGTATTTGGTAGTTTTTGGCGCTTCTAAAAAGCGTCACAAAGCCCACGCGCGAAGTACTCCAGAATCCAGGTTCCTTAGATCCGATTTACGGTTATTGCCTTACCTTGCCTCAGAACGGACGCCAATCACGCCAAATGAGGCTGGCACGTGCTGTTCGACTTTCGACTCTCGGGTCGTAAATTTAAATCTAAAGATACGGAATACTAGAAAGGGGATTTTTAGTCGAGGTGCATATGGGGATATTTTCTTCGTAAAAGGCTAGGTCTGTCCGCTCTGTACCGCTTGGCTTGAATGGACTCATCGGCAGGCTCTTCCGGTGCAGCTTGCCCGCGCCTTTTCAGAGTCTGATAAGTGGAACAGAGTGTCACAGACAAGCATAAGGGGATAAGTAATAGAATGACTAGTCGAAACTCTCTTAGATCAAGTTGTAAAGCAATTGGTCCCAATTGGTATGCCCCGCAGAATCGCACTTCGTAGAGACTATTCATTACGCTGCCTGAAACTCCCGTCGGAGTTTTCTGCGCGGATGATGGAGAGTAATATATGTTATGCTGTCGTTTGGGATTTGATGCCCTTGGGCCTCGGCAGGGCGTTGATGGAGAACATCTGTGCGGAAGTCTTTTCATGTTTGCCGTTCAACTCTCCGTAATAAGGATTTGGTTGATGGTTCTTTATATACCCGACATACGGATCGAAAAGCCGTGCTTTCATCAATTTGGATCGCCGATTCATCTTGGTGATGACTGGGGTTCCGCCTCAAGATTTCATTAGTTTGTCCTTGCTGGAGCCGTAGTCTATGTCCCGGAGAGTAATATGCCTAGGGCGGTGCCGCATGGATCACCGCTGTATAATCAACTGACATTACACCTACTGGCGCAGACGTAGCAGTCCATTGTCGCAAAATGGATGACGGCGCGTCGGAGTAATTATGTAGTCAGGTGTTTGGACTTGGGAATGTGCTGGCGAGATGAATAATCCTGCGGGCGAAACGCATCTCACATTGAGGCACAATGATAGTGCTTTGGTCGGGGTAATCGGTGCCGATCAGTATCACGGCCAAAGCCGGTGGTCAAGACTTGAGCGCTGCTGGCGTGCTCACTGCTGGCGGCGTAATGCAGTGGTGAGATTACGGTATTCGTCCGCAAAGTGACATCCATTTGTAAGCTAGGCGGTTAGTGGAAAACTGGAAATGCAACATGACTCGTGGAGGAGATTGATGGTGGAGATGGCTAGATTGATAAAGTCGCAGCCGTTTGAATTTTCCAACGTGAAGGTTTGCCCGTTGTCATTTGGAAGAGTCTGGGATGATGAAAGATCAGACGCAGGGCCGTGACTCTGGATGCAGGGCTAGATAGGGTTATATATTGACTGGTGCAGCTTTGCAGAGAGAGATACTTTTAGCAGCAATATCTTCGTATTATAATTACTGCTGCCCAGCCCCGGTGAAAGCATCATTTCGTTGTAAATCGCGGTCCGATGTTCGGTGACGCATCCCAATACATCCCCCACCCGCGGAAGGACGACCCAAAAAAGAGAAGGGCCAGAGATTAGAGTTGGGCGATTAAGCTTCGCCCCTAAAACACCAGACAAGCATCAGGATGCGTCGCGGCCAGAGACAGACAATCACTCATTATAACCACGGAGGCACCCCTTGAAATCCGCGCACTCCGACGGACTACGATTATTTCCGCGCCAGCCGCCTGGTACCAGACACTCATTACAACTCATACTCACTTTCAATACTCGTACTCTCTGTATTGTTGCAACGCCTGCTCCAAGACTTACACGACGGCATCGCGGGGAAAGAAAGGAGAGCGGGAGAAACCAACAGACAAAGGAACGAGGATTCAGAGCAGAGGCGCAGGAACCACCCGTGTACCGAGGGCGGGCTACTTGCCCAGGTGCGGAGAAGAAAAGAGGGCGTAACGTTAGGGCGTAGGAAACAGCTGCAGAAAAAGCAGGCAGTTACACAGGGCCGACAAAGAGAAAGAGACGCCAGGCAAGTTGGAAGGAAGACTCTTTGGGAGGGACCTCTGCGGCACGCCGCACATCCATGACACACATTTGCACATGCATCTTTCTCACACAACACACACACAAACCACAGCCTCAACCCACCACATTCGCGGACACAACCCATTCCAGCCCCGAAACCTACCTAACCATTCCCTGTCCCCCCTCCCCTGAGCAGAGAGCTCAAGCCCAAACACGCACCGGAACACCACCCTTTTCGCTCGGAGACCGTCGCAGGAGAAAGAAAAAAAAACCGCGCTGCTGGCTTTTTCCCCCATTCTCCTACGAGTCAATTGGTCCCAACAATTCGGTTCATCGTTCTTGGTTTCCACGTTTGATCCAAGGAAGACTGAAAGGAAATTGTTCCTACACACGGGACGCAGAGCTCTATTATTCTACTTTTCTTCTCTGCCCTACCGCACTTGTATCAGTCCGTCTCCTTTAGACGCCAAGCATCAAAGTTATGGAGCAGAGCCCCGAAGACCATCAGTCACCGCCAGACGGACAAGCGGCCAACCGCGGGTCCGACGCACTTCCGAGACCGCGTCCGTTGGCTTGCACTCCATGTCGGCGCCGCAAGGTAAGGGTCCAATCTCCTGTCCCGGTGGGCTGGTTCGCCCTCGCTCTTTGGAAGGATGCGGGTTGCCGTTGATCTTCACGCCTATCGGCGCGAATAATTCAACCCCAGCATTCCCAAGAGAGAGAGCGAGACCGAGCAGCTAAGCGCGTGGGGTTCATCTTGGGCTAACCGACGGGACGGCTCGTCGTTGCAACTACAGATTAGATGCGACCATAAGACGCCAATTTGTTCAAACTGTGTCAGGTATGGCTTGGAATGTGCCTGGCCCGAAGGACGACGGTCATCGGGACGTCGCCAGAGACCGTGAGTGAACCTCCTCATCTCCTTCCCGGCGAATCACTCGCTGCCCTGATCCTCACTCTCAACTCAGTAGTTGCTGTTGAGGGGAAAGGGGGGCCGATGTGGCCCTTATATCCAATCTACTTTGCTGGCTCGTGGTTGGCTGACACATTCACCGTGATGTTGCGTTCAACAGACTCTATGAAGATGTAGTTTCTAGACTGGCTCAGATGGAGAGGCTGGTGGAGGAGCTCCAGAAGCCAGACCAGGGACCGACACCTCCACAGCAATATGTCCCGACCGCCAGTGAGGCGGCAAAGGCAAGCGCCTCAAATGCCTCACCCCTGGCGACGACGTCGTCAAACAACCCATCGCCCCTGTCCAGGCGTAAGGCTAGTAGTGCGAGTCCATCTGCCGGAAACCCTGACAACTACCCATCGCCGCCGTCAGCTACTTCGTCGGCCTCGACCGGGGCAAGGCCGTATTACATCGGTGCCCCTGACGAAAGTACGATAATCGCAGCAGGTTCGTAATGATGCATTCTTCTCGCCCATGCCACTGGCCCTCTCAGATCTTGGTCGTTGACAGTGTTCACATGCTAGGTGCTTGCTCCCTACTCTCGCCGCAAGGTTTGAGTCAAATCGAGCTTCTCATTGGGGATTCGAGATTCAGCAATGCCTTGAAAGCTATGCAACCAAAGGTCGTATATGACAATGTACAGCCGTATCTTGAACATGCCGACACGAACCATCCTCTACCTCCAAACCATGTCATTATGGAATGCGTCAACGGTGAGTTTGACCAGGTGGTGCGAGTGATTTCGACCGTCTACTCGGGTTCAAGTGGACCTGAGTGTCACAATGGTGCAGTCACTGATTCAATCCAACCTAGATTATTTCGTGACTATGAACACTGGCATACGACTGTTCCAAGAGCACGAGGTACGAGCAGCTCTAAAATCCTATTTCCAGGGCATGCCGCCGGCGGATCCAGGTTGGCGCATGGCGGTCAACGTCATTATTGCCCACACCTTACGCAAGAGGAATGTTATGCGGAATAAGGAAGAGTATCAAAAATACATCCACAATGCGCTGGGAATGCTACCTAATATCATCTTGCGCACACCATCGCCTCTGGCGATTGGGGCATTACTGTCAACAGTAAGGTTTCCCTACGCTGCTCATACTCCCCAAGGTTACAAGAACTGACCCTTGGCGCAGGTTCTTTACTTCAGCTTCACATCTGAGAACCATATTGCGCTCACCCTCATGGGTCTCACGGTCCAGCTCCTCTTGATGGCAGGCTATCATCGGCCAGAGCCGGACGTGGCTTTTGCGCGCCCTCAACAGCTCATCCCCACAGAACACCTCCACCGCCGCCGTCTCTTCTGGCACGCATACGTGATCGACCACGATCTCATGCTGCGGATCGGAAAGCCTGCACTCATTAGCGATGACTTCCTCCTGGACCTCCCCGAAGAGCACCCATCCGATGGGTACAGCATGTACTACTACCCCAACGACGTGACGCTCAACTTCTTCCTCGAGCAGGTCCGACTCGCCCAGATCCAGGGGCGCATTTCCACGACGTTGTACTCTCGCAGCGGCCTTCCTGCAGCCGAGCTTGAGGCCGAGATCCGCCGTCTCGATAACGAGCTGACAGAATGGCGTCAAAGTATCCCTCCGATGATCCGCGCCGACAACGTCGATGCCCTGCTTGACGGCGACTACTCTAGGCTGGTGTGTCTGACGACGTTGCACTTCACCTACTTCCAACTCGTTGTCGCGATCCATTCTGCGGCCTTCAGGCTACCCACACTGGAGGATCAAGAGGGAGTAGAATCCGGTGATATAGGCCCCAGTCTGGCGCTTTGCGTGAGCGCATCGCGTGCGGCCATATCCCTGCTGAACTACCATCAGATCGAACACCCATACACGCCGTAAGTGTCCGCATTTCATCAGTATACTGAATGACGCAGCTCACGCTTGCTTTCTAGCTACCTCCTCTATCAAATCGCTTGGAGCGTTGATATTTTGTTCGTCAATATTCTCCAGAACAAAAACAACCCCCGAGCTCGCCGTGATCTCGACCTAATTCGCACTGTCATCTCCTTCTTCGAAAAGTACGACCCGTACCACCAGAGTGTCATCTCGTATCAAATCATCAAGGTTATCGCCGACGTTGCGGCTACGGTCCTTGCAAACACCCCTACCCTGCCTCCTCACATGCTTCCGGTTCAGCACGGCCAGGCCGTTCAGCAAGTCCCACTCCCGGCCCCGAGTATGCCGATTATGCCCGACTCTTCGGGTGCGATGCAGGGAGCTTTCTCTCCTCAGATGTCCGGACCGGGGACGGCCCGCAGCGGTAGCATAAATGGAAGCACCCCCGATGTCCTCGGCTCCATGACAAGTCTTTCCATGGCGGACCAGCAGCAACAACAAACGTCACCATTCATGGACTTGTCAGCAGGATTAGCATCGCCCAACAACGGTCAGCTCTTCCCCGGATTTATGGATATGGCCGACTGGAGACTACCGATGGATTACCAGCCAGAGCTGTGGCAATACGACAACCTCTTAGATAATCGGTTTCCCAACAACCAGAATTAAGCCGTAGTCGGACCGGATCTAAGTATTCGCAGAGGAATGAGTCTTGGCGTCATCGGTTCCACTCCCATGACGGCGGCGGCGGATCACTTCCGGCCATCCGGCGGTAACCGGCGATAAGTCCGCAGGCCGTCGCATTGTGGGCCCGCCTTCTCCGGTTGCATCGCCGAAAGAAACCACCCGATATCGCGCACTCTAGCGCCGCCATCAGAGGCGAATCAGGGTTGGCCACGATCGTCAGGCACGCGAGCTTTTACCCAAAACTTTCATGTGGAATCACTCATCCACGACTCCGGTGACAAATTTCGCCGAGGTCGCGTGCCCAGAGGAGAGGGACTTGAGAGGCTAAGAAGGCGAGAGGAGGAGGAAAACAAACAAGAGGCCGACGATGCCATCCGGGCTCGCGTCGCGACGGAAGATTGAGCTCGAGATGTCCGGACGATGGCCGGACAGACGGTGCGCCTCACCGTAGGCGGCTTAGGGCCAACGAGCGAGGAAGAAGCATGCATGTGAGAGAACTTGGAGAGGTAGAGAGAGACAGATGGATGTAATACCCGAGCGCCGAGGCATCCAGCGATTGTCTCAACCCTACAGAGTACAGCCAATTGGAATTGACTTTTTGGATTTTTTTCACACCTAATCATTTTTTCTGCGCATGCCTCTGTGGTAGTTGAGAAACGCATGCCCAACACTCGGATCAAAAACACATGTCTCGCTGAGTGAAACCCACGTCGCCCTACGAACGGGAATCAAAGCACCCACGTTGCGAATACGATCATCTCCAATGGAGACCCCAATTGAGATGGGAAAAGCATGCCATGCGATTGTAGGTCTTCGATTCCAGGCTGGATTCTGGGAGTCCAAACCCTTGTCGATAATCACCGCCCCCTGCCCGCTCCTCCAAATTCCCACAAGTGATGTGCGCGCGTATCCTCTTCAAAGAATCCGGGGGTTTTTTAGCATGGTCAATGGCAGTTTTCCCCCAAATGACGTCAGGCGTCCTTTCCGGACTCTTCGGTTTCACGTTTCTAATCCCACAGCCCCCTTTGACCACAAAGCGAACAGAAAACGTCAAGCGTGTGCGGCGCGCAATTAGTACCGGCCCCTTTGCCGTCTCATTTCTTGTTCCTCTCTCTCTTTAGGTTCCTGCATAGACTCGCGCGATTAGGAATGGAAAGCCCATGTCAGCCCCCCCAATTCCGATCCTCCTACCTACTTACCTTAAACCTGGGACTTCCCTCCCAGCAGTGTGTCCCGTCTCCACGCTCACCCGCACCGCCATGACATCTAAATTCCACAGCAACCCACGTCCTCTCGTTTGAGTTCCCCGTCAACGGGCATAGGATATCCCCTGCACCTCACTCAACTCTCACCTTTTGAGGCCTGTTGAGCATCCTTGCCGATCCTGGCAGATTGAGGGCTCTCTCTCTCTCTCTCTCTCTCCGACAATGGGTTCAGAAACCAAGAAAAAGTCCTCAACAGAGGATAGGAAACGGCGATCCGACACGAACCCGCCCAAAACACTCAGAGAACGTTTCCTGCACTCCCTACCCTATTACACGGGACCCTACGGCGTGGGATTCCTCGAGATTGAAGCACCGGTCCGTCAACCGCGCACCTTTTCGGAGCTCAGACGCCACAACGTCCCGCTGCTGAGGCTCGATACCGTCCTCTTCGCCGTCTACTACCCGTGCACCGTAAAGACCCAGACTGACGACCACGCCGCTCCCGACCATCACCATCAGCAGCAGCAGCAGCAGCAGCAGCAGCATCGCGGCAAGAAGAATGGGAAAAAGGCTGGCAGTGCCAAGAAGCCGAAGCTCTCACGGGTCGGATGGCTCCCTCGTCCGCGGGTCCTTACATGCAAGGGCTACGCCAAGGAGTTCAGCATCCCGCATCTCCCAGTCACGGCCTACATCGCCGCCACCTCCATGTTCACCAAACTCCCCGCGCTGAGGAACGCGAAGCTCGCAGAGCACTGGCCGGAAGAGATGCTGGGCGACGAAGGTCCGACGGGTCAGACAGCAAGGAACGAGGAGTCGAGCTCGCGCAAGAAGCCAAAGTTTCCAGTCATCATATTCAGCCACGGCCTGGGCGGCTCGAGAATGAGCTACAGCTCCATCTGTGGAGAGTTGGCGAGTTACGGCTTCATTGTTGTGGCAGTCGAGCACAGGGATGGGAGCGGTGCGAGAACCTATGTGAACCTTCCGGAACATCGGGAGGTGTCCGACAGCGAATCTTCCTTGGAGACGGTCAACGCCAAAAAGATCAAGAACAAGAAGAATGGAAGAGACTCTGGGCAGCACTACTGTGTGGACTATCTTTTTCCCAAGAATAACGAGCAGGACACGGCACCGAACAACGAACAGGGCGTTGACATGCAACTACGCGCTGCGCAAATTGAAATGAGAATGACGGAAATCGAGGAGGCCTTCCGCATCCTTGGATATATCGACAATGATCGCGGGCACGAAGTTGAAGCCATGAACCTGAGAAAGAAAGGCAATGTGGCGTCCAGCTCCAAGGGGCTTACAGGCATCGTGTGGGATGACTGGCAAGATAGGATGTTCCTCGACAACGTGACGATAATGGGTCACTCGTTTGGCGGAGCAACAACGGTCGAAGCTTTGCGAACCGAGTCGCTCGGCTGGGTTGGTCAAGGCATCATTCTTGACGCTTGGGGCCCGGCAACGCCACGCGCAGGAGAGAACCCTAATCACCGCGTTAAGAAACCGTTGTTGTCGATCGGATCGGAGGCCTTTATGCACTGGCAAGAAAACTTTGACAGACTTGTCGACGTCTGCAACGAGGCGAGAGGTGAAAACGCACTAACCTGGATGATGACGATCCGGGGGTCAACCCATCTCTCCCAGACAGACTTTGCAGTCCTGTACTCGACTTGGACAGACTTGTTCATGAAGACGTTGGTGAATCCTCTGCGAGCCATCTACCTGACGATATCACCGTCGCTTGAGTTTTTGAAAATCACGCTACCTCCCGAGCAGACGAAGTACAACACCTGGGTAGACGAGGAAATCTTGAAAACAACAGAGCCACCAGCAGAACCACTTGCTGTAGTGACGCACGATCACCGACCGGACGACCAATGGATCGCAGTCCGCCTCAAGGTGGACAACGAGGCGACTCTGCGGGTGAAGAGATGGTTTCGGCACAAGAATCGGGTCTTGATGGGGAAAGGCGATAGATCGGGCATGCCTTCGGGGCTTATCAACTGGGAGAAGGGCAACGAGGTTTGGATGCACGTGAGCCCGGACCCTGAGTCCGTGGAGGAGCAAATGCAACGGAACGAGCGAACGACGAGCCGGGATGCAGCGTAAATAGCCTCGATTAGCGACGTGATGCGTTCCGTAGATCTGCATGCTCTTCATAGTTTGGTTGAATTGGGTAGCGACTTTGGTCATTGGCGTTTACGAGGCGTAACCGCGGCCATGGTATTGGGATGCTTTGGGCACTTGTCGTGCCACTGTATAAGTAGGGTAGTAGGCTCGTCAGACAGGACACAGCCTGCGGGCGTCAGCTAATCAAGATACAAGCGATTTCTTGTTGCAAATCGCTGGTATATTTGCTTGGTAAAGTTGCGTGTGTTTCCTCAATCCAGAAACGTGATTCCAAAATCAGCAATTACTGGACAACAGTTCTGCAGGCTATCCGGCGGTCGGACGGTCAAGTCATTGTCGATCCAAAGACGGGCTGGTAGAGTGCCTGTCGGCTTCAGCAGGAAGGTCCTGAAGCTTGCCCGTAACCGAAGCCTGTGCGCTCTGCGCTTTGTGGTGAGAAGAGGGTAGCTTTGGTTTGAAGTATAAGGCGAGGCTCGGACTCCTTTGCCGAAGTGGACTAGCTCCAGGGACGCCGATGAACAGCAATTTTGATCGATTGAGCCAGGGGTTGCCCGGTACGGTGACATGTGGAGAGCGATGGTGTCGTGACGAGGGGGACCAGGATTATGAAATCCGCAGATTGAATTGTTGTTTGGCCATCATGTCTGGCTGTGGATAACGCGGATGGGAGAGGTAGGCAATTGAGGTTAGCTTTGTGTCATTCTGGCGTGGGCGTATGCCACAATGCTTCTTCAGCTATTTTTGTCTCTTTTGGTTCGTTTCTCGCTTGCGTGTCGGCACCTTCTTTTCGGACGAATTCGTTGTGTGAGGGCTTTGAGGCGAGCCAAGAATGGAAGACAGGGAGCCCATCGATCAAGGCATGCAGGTTGGGGTCAGCGGTGGTGGTGTGGGAGTGTTTATGAGTGGACAATATGCAGGTGTCAGTTGATGGGACGATGCAAAATACGAATTGTGCTGTCAGGGACTGCTGAATTGTGCGTGGTGGTTTATGCCGACGAAGTGGTCTTGATTCTATAGTAGAAATCATAAACATTGATGATGAGAGATAGGTCGGACGAAGGGTTGGTATCCGTAAAGGTCTGTGATTGAAGTTTAATAGGCAGAACAGTCGCCAAGAGGTCATCGGCTTGGTCGGGTCCACATACATGGTCGTCCACAGCTTCAAGTTCAGGTGAGGCGAGGAAATGGGAATAAGGTCAGGCTTTTGGCGGCGGGACGAGGTGGATTGTGGGCAGACGCCACAAAGGACGCTACGCCAACGGCCGGGGATGCCCTGACTGCCTTGTCTTTCAGGAATGGAAGCCACGGTACGTATAGGGGTAGAGAAACGCTGTGTGATTGCTGATGTGTGGGGGAAACAATGAACACCAGCGTCCCTGCTTGCTTCTTTCTTGTTGCAAACAAACGTCCAACAGCCAGGGGAAAGAACAGAGCCCCCCGCTTGCTCCTTCTCAAAATAGCCAGTTGGTGTTAAGCTAGCCATGTCCCGGTGCTGATCGCCAGGATAAAATCGCCGGTGCTCGCTAACAGTGGATACCAAGGGGTGGCGTCACTGGCGTCTGCAGCGGTCCCCGGTCCAGCTGGAGCTCCTCCAACCGTCCAACACACCTCAAAAGCTCGTATCGAGCGTCGCAACTCAAAATTCCCATGTGCCTAAACTTCTAAAGGAAAGGGAACGATCCCGAATCCCACCTCTCAACAAGGCCTCGCATGGCAAGCGGCATGAGAACCAGCCATTCAACCATCTGCTGCGGCGAAGGGGCAATCGAAGACACC